GGATTAATGCTAGGTCCTTCGAGAACATCGATTGGAACAAGCCGAACCAATTCTTCATCTGAAGACGATGCGGCTGCGGCCAATCGATCTGCTTCGGCATTTTCATCTCGTGGTACCTGATGGAACTCGATTTGATTGAACTCTCGGATAGCACTTTCTACAGCATCTTTGTATGACTTCATACGTTCCTCCTTGGGAGAATATTGCCCTGTCACTTGATTGATCACAAGCTGTGAATCACTAAAAACTTTTAAACATCGTACCTGTAGCTGTTTAGCTAGCCGAAGTCCGGCGAGCATTGCCTCATACTCGGCCTCGTTATTAGTAGATGGGAAATCTAGCAGAATTGACTGCTGCAGCTTGGTACCCTCGGGTGTTGTGATGTCAATACCAGCCCCTGCCCTCTTCCGGTTGGACGAGCCATCAACTCGTAACTCCCAGTATGGTTCTGGAAGTGTCGGTTCCTCAGGTTGATCTTCGTACTCTAGTAGGAAATCCGCTACCGACTGCCCCTTGTGAGATACCTTCGGTGCATAGGTGATGTCAAAAGAGCTAAGTTCAATAGCCCATTTTGTAATTCGACCAGACAGGTCTGGTTTAGCTAGGATAGCTCGTATAGGGTAATTTGTAAGTACCACTATGCTGTGAGACTCGAAGTAATGTCGAAGTTTCCTCTTGGCATAAATTAACGCCAGGATTACCTTTTCTGTCTTGCTGTACCGTGTCTCGGCATCCGTCATAGTTTTGCTTGTGTAAAAGATTGGGTGCTGAACCTTGTCTTCTTCTTTGATCAACACTGCACTTGTTGCTACAGCTGATACTGCCAGGTACAGGATAAGAGTGTCTCCGGGCGTTGGAGCAGAAAGGATTGGGGGTTTTGCCATGTAGCTTTTCAATTGATTGAGAGTTTCCTGCTGCTGAGGTCCCCACATATCTTTGTTTTTGGATCGAATAGCATCAAAGAAAGGTTTATACTTATCAGATAATCGGGATATGAACCGGCTGAGAGCCGCAATTCGGCCGGTTAGAACTTGCACTTCCCTGCGAGTTTTCGGTTCCTGGTTCTGTATGAGTGCCTTTGCTTGAGCTGGGCTTACTTCTATTCCTCTTTTATTTACGACGTGCCCAAGGAACTGTCCTGACGAAACGGCGAAGGAGCACTTGGTGGGGTTCAGCTTCATATTGTATCTCTTGAAAGTATCAAAGACCTCCTGGAGGTGCTTCGGGTGGTCCTCTTTCCGTATACTTTTAACCACCATATCATCGATATAGGCTTCAACTGTATTGCCCAGCAAATTACTGAAAATTTTATTGACAAGTCGCTGGTAGGTGGCTCCGGCATTCTTTAGACCGAAGGGCATCACTCTGTAGCAGTAAGTGCCCGTTTCTGTGATGAAAGCAGTTTTCTCCTCATCTTCAGGATTCATGGGAATCTGATTATAGCCAGAGTATGCGTCGAGGAATGTGAGCCTTTCATAACCCGTCGTAGCATCCACCATTTGATCAATCTTGAGCAGAAGAAAGCTATCTTTTGGGCAAGCTTTGTTAAGGTTGGTATAATCTACGCACACCCTCCATTTCCCATTCTTCTTTTGAACGACTACTACATTCGAGAGCCATTGTGGGTATTGCACCTCTCGAATGAATCCTGCTTGTAACAGTTTATTCACTTCCTCGGCTATTATGCGATTGCGTTCAGGTGCGAACCTTCGGTGCCTCTGTTTGACTGGCCTGAATTCTGGGTTAACCCTCAGACTATGGCATGAGACTGTAGGATTGATCCCCACCATATCTGAGTGATCCCAGGCAAAGACATCCGAATTGCACCGAATAACCCTGATCAATGCTTCCTTCTCTTCGGCTGTGCAAGATGAGCCAATGTAGGTGATCTTCTGAGGGTCTCCGACGACTACCTCTACAGCTTCGAGGGACTCCTCGGTAGGTGCCTCAACTTCGGCTTCTTCCTCTGCCTTGAGATACTTGGGCAGAGGATACTGTAGCTGCTATTTGATTGCGTCTTTGGGATTCGCCTCTGACTGAGGTGATTTCGACGCTTTCTTTGCTTCGTGTAGCGTTAGCATGTAACATTCTTTGGCAGCAACCTGGTCTCCCCAGAGGTCGATGACCTCCCTGCCATCCGGGGATAAACACCTCATTACTTGATGAAGTGTAGAAGGGACTCCATTCATACGATGGATCCAACCTCTTCCCATAATGAGGTTATAAGATGGATGAATCTCTGTCACGACGAAGTTTTCCTTTAGAGTTCTCTTTGCTGCAGTAACGGATAGATCGACCACCCCAAGCGGATTCACCTTAGTACCATCAAATCCCATTAGGGGGCCGGAAGTTGGCCTGATGGATGATGGCGAAATCCCCAACTGATCAAAAGCTGTTTTTGTAATGATGTTGGCGCTACTTCCCGGATCTACCAGCACTCTCCTGATCATGTAATTCGCTACCAGGCGGCCGATGACCAAGGGGTCCTCATGCGGGCGCTGGACTCTAGAAAGGTCATTGTTACCGAATCCAATGTTGATGCTGCCTGGTGCAACTGTGTTTACCGAAGACAACCTGCGTAACTTATGAGCCTCTCGCAGCCTGGATCTGTACAACTCTTCAGATTCTTCATCATCCTCTGACCTTCCGTGTATGGCATGGATAACCTTTACTTGACCGCTCTCTACCCGTCGAGGGTTAACCTCCCGAGGTCTTACGTGCTCCTTTGTGGCGAGATACTCCACCAATTCTCCTCTCGCTATCATGCTTTCTACTTGTCGCTGTAGGGACCTGCAGTCATTGGTGGTATGCCCATAATCTCTATGGTAGGCACAATGTTTGCTTTTGTCCCTCTGCTCCAAGGGTTGCTTCATGGGCTGAGGAGTTGCGAACCTCGTCTTATTCTCTTGGAATAGGCGCGCCAAGGTAGTACGGAGAGGGGTAAGCCTGTCCTCTGTCCTTCGCCTTTTCTCAGACGCTTGGGTGACTTGTGTGGCGGTATGAGGGACCTTCTGCATCCTTGTGCTTGCAGCTTTCTCTCGAGACTTGTTTTTCACCGTGACGAGGGTAGCGTGCTGTGCACGGTGGGCTACGTTTTCCTCCAACCGGATGTAGATTTGTGCCCTAGCGTTCAAAGTCTGCATATCCGGGGGGGAATATTTGACTAAGGATGTGTGAAACTTGGTTCCCTGGATCATCGCCAACTTAAACGTTTCGATTGCCGTGGCAGGATGGCAATCTGCTATCTCCGAGGCCTCCATGTTAAACCTGGATAAAAAATCTTGCAAAGTTTCTCCCTTCCTTTGCCTTATGGTGAAAAGGCTGGCGATACTTTTCTTCTGCTTCTTATTTCCGCAATACTGGGCTAAGAACATGATGCACAAGGTCTCATAGTCAGGGATAGACTTGTGTGGCCTATTCCTGAACCATTCTAACGCTGCTCCGGTTAAACTGGTAGGAAAAACTTTACACATCCACGGATCGTTATGATCGTCCAGTGCCATCTTTTGCTCATAATGATCAAGATGCCGAGAGGGGTCTCCTGCCCCATCGAACTGGGTGAAGGATGGCATAGTGAACTTCTTCGGCCTCTCCACAAGGTACACCTCGTCAGTAAAGGGGGTCTTGACCAAGGAATTCTTGTGCTCTCTAGCCATCTCGGCTGGTGTCTGGACTCTCAAGAGCTTCTTTTCGTCGAAGGCATCTTATACACGTGCGCCATCCGGAACGCCATTGGACCATACCGTAAGCCTATGGCTGGACTCGGCCTGTTCGTCCTGAGTGCGATGCGGGAGATTATCAGAAGCAACCGCCTCGGACCTCGTCCCTTGCTTTTGCTGAACCTCACTAGGTCGAGCCCCGTTGAGTGGTGTCTCGTTGGCTGGAGGCTCGTGAACCGGAGGTAAATTCCGGGTGGGAGGTGGTGCCGCAGCATCGCCTGGTGGTGGTTGTGGCGTTAGCCTGGCCATGGCCATGTGCAGCGTATGAGACTGCTGCTGAAGCGTAGCTATCTGGGCGACACTCGTATCGTTTGCTTGCCGGAGTGTCTCAAATTGGTGCAAGAACTCTTCTCGCATCTTTTGCATCAATTCTATCTGTTGATTCATTACTGACTCTACGTTTGACATTCCAGACACGATTAAAGGATTTATTTTGAAGAACAAGTGGGAGTATATTTCTATACGGTTCCCACAGACGGCGCCAAAGTGTAGGTGCAAAATTTCGCTCAACCAATAATGACTGAGAAAAATAAAACAACTCACTCAAAAACAATAAAAATAAATAAGAACAATGTGTAGAGAAGTGTGGAATTGCTTGATCCTTTATTGGAGGTCTTAGCCTCTATTTATATACAAAAGATTGCAAAATTATGGTAGGACTCGCGTTGCTTGCCCTCCAATTCTTTCTATATAACCATACTTTTCTAATAGAGTTCTTTCCATTGTTGAATTTTCCATACATAGAACTTGCCTTGTACAGAACTTCCTATCCGAATTTTCCTTCTACGGTAAATTCTTCAAATGGTAGGATTTGTGCATTCTTGGGCTGAATATATTTTGATCCGGCTGGGCTTGGGTAACAGGCCGGATGTTAAATACTCATATCTGGGCTGACGACAAGCTGGGCTGATGGCTTCTTGAGTCGGCCTTGATGGAATGGTCTTGGGCTGTAAATACCCTCAACTTGGGCTTGAGCATGATGGGCCTTATATGTCCTTGGCCTATAGATATGGGTAGTGGTGACGTGTGCGTTTTTTATTGGAGGGAGTTTTTTTCCCTCCACAGAATAGTATAGAATAGATATAGATATATGAGTAAAAGCGTCAGTATGTGTATAATTAGTTTTTTAGTGACAATATTTTGGGCTACATATATATATATATATATTTCTAGTTGAATGCCAAAATCTGGGGCAATGGCTCCATATGCTTATGTGTGGGAGAGACAGTTACAAATTCAATAAAACCATTTTGGGGTAAATAATTTGAGTTCCACTACAATTTAAAAAAATCCTTGAAATCTCTTTCCAAATACAATGAAAGAAATAGGAAAGAAGACGCTACAAATGAGGCATATAGTGATTGCAAGGCCTAATGAAGGTTCCAATGTAGCATAAAAACCAGTCATGAATGCAACCACCATTGCTCCCATGGCAGCTACAATGAGCAGAAAAGCAAAGGATTGGCGCTGCATACGCTTATTCTCGTTCTCATAATCATTAAGAATATAAGTGGATGAAATTAAGAGGAGAAATACAGCAATAATGGATAAGACCATAGCAATAGTATCGGTCACAGCAAATGCTATGAAAGCTGCCCGTCTCGCTAATACTGCCATGCCTTTGTTTACTCCATTGTTACTTTCGAATCCACCTGGCACCGTGAAACCAGCTGTAAATGTTATCGTTGCAATAAGTGCAGCCACTATCAATGCCGTGTCCGCAAGTTTTGTGATTTCTTGGTTTATATTGTTTTCTGTCTTCGGAGCTTCGTCTTTTTTGTGTACTTTGAATTTGTTTCGGTAACTTTCTGGTTCCTGCATTTTTGTTCTTTGATAATCAGTTCAAAAATAGCAGCGATATTTAATGCCGGAATTTGGGGGCAATGCCTCCGTGTGTGTGTGTGGGAGAGAGAATATATATAAATTGTTTGAAAGAGCAACTGGCTTTCATTGATTTCGCTTTGCCGCCAAATTAGCCATTCTATAGCAGACAACAAATACAGATAAATAAAGAGTCCTCTAAAATAGCAACAACGACATAATACTAATCTAATTGACAACAAATACGGATAAACGAAGGGTTCCTCTAAAAAAAAAAAAAAGTAACGGCACACAATAATAATTTGATTCACAAATGGAGTAAAGAGAGGAAAAAAAAATAGATCTGTCGGGTTTAATCCTAAAAAAATGGATATAATACTCCTCTTATTGGGACACGTTAGTATGTAGAACACAATCTATCATGATGGAACAGAACTGAATTATTATTTATATAACTATGCAACCAAATGAAAAGAGTGGTAAATAATTTTTATATATATAGTACGTACTATGTTGTAATGTAATAATAAACATATGTATATGTATAATTTTAATCGGATTATTATCGTATCAGATTACTTATAATTTATATCCGATTTGTTAAGGTAACTGATTATCGGATTTTTTTTTTCAATTGATATTCAAATAAGCGGATCCAGGGACGAACTAGGGGGGCAAGAATGAATTTTTTTAATAATTTCAAGGGTTCAATAGCAATATTTTAAGGGTATGTAATAGAAAAAGGAAAAAATAGTTGTCTATTAGTAAAAAAAAAATTATTTCGGAGGGATTACTTTAGGTCTGTCCCTGATCGAATCGGACTCGGATCAAAAACTAATCAATTGACAGGTATAACTATCATGCATTATTTATTTATTTATAAGTAATGTTGTTGGCCTGCACTGGACCATATATGGTTGGAAAGGTCACACAATTGCCTGAGCCGACCCGCTCTATTTTGTATTTTTTTTTTTGTCTAATTTTTCTTTATATACCGGATCAAATACACTTCAACAGTAATTTACATGAATAAAAAGTTGATAAATATCTTTAAATACTACCATACTCTACTTTATGATGTCTGAATGATAAGAGAGCTGTGCGCCGGGTGCCCAGTGCCCACACAAAATTTTATACATCTGCTTCCTTGGTTAGTGTGGGCTTCCAGCTTTATAAAATTTTTACGCATTCTGAAATACAACGTTATATAACAAATTCTATGAATTAAAAACCAAAGGATTATATAACAGTAAAACATTTTAGGCATTAATTGTTCCTTTGTAAAATAGTAGCACTCAAATTTTTTTTTTTTTTTTAATTTTTGTTATTGATTAATTTTTTTACCTTTGGAGTTGGCATGACAAAACGTGAATGCTTACCTGCAAATTAATTTAAAACGGAGACTATCGAGCAAAACATTATTAATTTTTTTTAAATTATAGATGTGATAGTATTATATACATCAAAATTTAAATAGATAATGAGGAAAGATATATTTCGTGATTACCTTGGTGACGATAAATTGTTGCTGCGTGTAAAACTGTTCTTCCATTTAGTCCACTGTAAGTTGATAATATACAATTCTCCAACAATTTGGACACAATATTTGATTTACCTCTCTCTACCGCGAGAAAAAGGGGAGTGTCGTCGACATTATTGGGTAGATATTCAAACTCGGAGTCTTCTGTTGTCAAAATCTCAACCACATCAAGATTGTTTTCATTTCGCACAGCCTCGTGCAACGCCGTGTCACCCTCCACATTTCTCATCCTCGGCATCTCCTTGGTGGTTCTAGTCCCCCTTTCAACATCCGTGTCTTTTTTTGCATAGTCAATAAGTTCCCGTACTACATCTGCATATCCATTCCTGGACGAAATATGAAGTGAAGTGTCACCTTTGTTATTCACCGAACAAAGCAGTGATTGGCCACACTTGTCTAAGATCACTTTCACACAATGCGTTTGGCCGCGACATGGAGGACTGTGTTCTTTTGGGGGGTCACTTGGACTTCAAGTTGATCAGTATTTTGTGTGATCAGGACATCAGTATTTCCCTCTACAGCAGCCTTGTATATATGACTGGATCCATCGAGTTTGTCCCTGCAGTTAGCTACTTGTGATTGTGTATTTAACTATTTATACACTTGCCCGGTTGACTTTAACCTTCTACTTTAGATATAAATAAATACCACTAGACTTGATAGATTGCACGGACTTGAGAGAAATTAAAGAGAAAAACTAGAAAAAAACTAAAATACAGAATTTAGAGTAAGTACTCCTATTCATAGAGCAGCAATATTTTTAATTTTTAAAGTTATCAATCTGAACAGATGTAACTATTCGACTATTGAAATTAATAATTAAAATAAATTTAGTGTGCTCAACTGTCACGTATTTTTTAAAATAATATGATCTTAATTACTTATAATAAATGTCTTAATCCGTGCCAGCATGGCCAGCTATTTGTGACTAGTTTTGCTGGTGGGCTTGGGATTTAGTCAAGCTGCTTTGTCCAAGGATACTGTTGAGTTGACTTTAATTTTTTTTTTTTTTTCCCCCTAAGTTGACCTTAATTGGATAATATGGTTGTTACAACTACTTGTATAATTAAGTGATTGTATTTGGTAATATTCAGGCGATTGTATTTTAATGAAAATTAAGGAATCATGGCTTAATATAATGGAGCACATGAATGGATGGGTGAGGGCTCATCAACATGTAAAATGTCCGTCATAAAAATGTTACAAAAAATACTTGTTCAAATTACAAAGACTTGAGGAGCTGCTGTGGTTGTTATAACGCCTTTTTAGCTTAATTTTGTGACTGAATTTTTTTTTTGAAAACCAGAAATTTGTAGTGTATACTGTTTCAGCAAAGAACATGCCGGAGCGGAAGTTATAAATATTTATTAAGGAACCATAAATATAATGAATAATTTGACTTGGTTTAAACCTCTAACAAAAATCATAAAATATTTGACAGACTTTTACAAGACTGACAAAATATGATTTTGGAGTCAATATGTTTTTTGCGGAAAAATGACATGGCTCACTGGGTAAAATAGTGGATTTTGCTCAATTGATGGTTTACACCCAAAAAAAAAAAAAAAAAAAACTCCGGGTCAAAAACGGAATATCAAATTGATTGAAATTCTATCCTACATCTGAACATCTTTGGACCGTACTCCATGATAATTTATCTTACTATTACTAACCCTTAAAATCGTAAGTGACTTAATATATATATATATTGGTTTGAAAATGCTATACTATGCAACCATTTTAAAAAATAAAAATAAAAATAAAAATCATCTAAATTAATTAACTGATTAGGAGAATGAATAAATTGGAAGCAAGTGAATTGGCTACATCAGAATTCGGTTTTCTTCTTCTTAAAATGCAAGAAACTCATCCACACATGCTTCAACCCTTATTTAATAAATAGAATAGAAATTTAAGGCTTTGTCTAAAGTGCGTAGGAGAAAAAAGAAAGGAATAAACTTTTGTGTTTTTATGGGCCAACATTTTTTTATTTCTGTATCAGCATTTTTTTCTGTAGGATCAACTTTTGTTTTGAGCCAAAATTTGATGCCCCCCAAATTTGGAGGCCCTAGGCTTCAAGCTGGGCCGCCTAGGCCCAGGGCCGGCCCTGGGTTGAGTGATTAGTAATATTTTCATTTCATTAAATTACGGAGTATAATTCAGTACAACCCATCAATCTACTCTGTATGACCACCGCCACACCCACCTGAGGCCTCTCTCCCCATCCGAGTTGCACTGAATTGAAATTCGTATGGTAAGTTTTGCAACCATGCTGCCTTTTGATTAATTAGGCTTTGTTGCCTAATGGGCTATCTTAACGTAATTTCAAATTTATTTTAACGTAATTAAGAGATTTTAATAAGTAGCGGGATAAAATTAAGTGATAAAAAGGTAAGAAAGCACATGCCAAAAGTGTGAGTAAAAAGAATGTGCCGAGCGACGCCGGTTAAAAAGAATGACGTCACTTAGTTTACGAGTCTCTCAAAGAAAAAACAAACCATGGTAGAAGAGAAAGAAGTTTGTTTGTTGACGGAAAATAGACGCGAAGTGGTTGTTTGGGGCCATCAATGGAAAAGCTTTGGGGGTTGGGCTGACTGATGATAAGTGCGACTCATTCTTAAAACTCCATGATCAAAGCATACTTTTTCATGCATTTGGAAATTATTCCATTTTTAGGATGAATTTCCCTTTCTCTTCCTTTCCCTTCCTCCTTATCTTCTTCCCCATCAAGGAAATCCATCGGAGATCGAAGAAGAAAGAGAAATTGAGATCGAGGAAGCTAGGGAGAGAAAATGGCTCGCGGGAAGATTCAGATCAAGAGGATCGAGAACTCGACGAACAGGCAGGTGACGTATTCGAAGAGACGAAACGGTCTGTTCAAGAAGGCGAATGAGCTCACCGTTCTTTGCGATGCGAAGGTCTCTATCATCATGTTCTCCAGCACCGGCAAACTCCATGAGTTCATCAGTCCTTCCACCACGTATATATATATAAAAATTCCCCTTTCTCTCTCTCGCTATATATATATACTCTTGCTTTCTCTCTCTAGAATTAATCCTAGCGTTTTTTGTTATGTATTTAATCAGAACGAAGCAACTGTTCGATCAGTACCAGAAGACTTTGGGGATCGATCTGTGGAGCTCACACTATGAGGTTAATTTCTCTCTGTTTCTATCCAAGTATTTGTGTGTTTATATATATATATATAGTTGAGTTATGCTTACGTATGTGTTGAATCATGATGATTTGCAGAGAATGCAAGAGAACCTGAAGAAACTGAAAGACATTAATAGGAAATTGCGGAAGGAAATTAGGTGGGATTTATTGGAGTAGTTGTTGCGTATAATTTGCTCTGTTATTTTGTTGCAATTTTATGAATTAAGTTTTAATTTGGTGTGTTTTGTGTGTGTTGTTGGTATTTTGATGAATTTGGTTGGACCTGTAATGGTTTGCTAGGCAAAGGACGGGTGAAAGTTTGAACGATCTGAGCTATGAGGACTTGCTTCGTCTTCAGGAAGATATGGAAATTTCTCTGAAGATCATTCGTGATCGAAAGGTTCATTTTCTTTATCAGACATACGCTACCTAATGCGTTTTTTTTTTTTTTACCCCTCTTTTGTCTTTCTAACACTTGAGCTTTTATTTATTTATTTACTTTTTGGCTTGGTTTATTTTTCTAACAATTATTTTTTTCTTTTTTATGAAATTTAAGCGGATTGAAATTACATCTTAAAACCGAGACAGTTGTTTTACGAAGAATATTATTGATAATTATTCACAAAATACAATCCTTATGATCTCCAATTGAATCATTTGAGAGAGTCACGAAATTAGATTTTTTGGTCTTTTATTTATTAGTTTGATATCCTTTTAAAAGGCTAATATAGTAAATGATTCTTGAACCATTTATCACTTGGTGGTATATATATATGGAGTATTTTTTATTATTACACTCTTATGGGTTCACTTTTCTTAATGATAGTCTGAATCGAAGTTGACCACGAAGTGTTAATTGTTCTGTAATTATCTAATAATTTCTTCAAATTTTTTTTATGCATATGTATATTATTTTATTTTGATTTCTTTTTATTGAACCAAATAAAAAATAGGAAAATGCTACTCCCTCCCCTGGATGCTTCTTTTTCTTTTCGTTCCCTTCTGGCATATAAGGATACAGATCGAGTTTGATTATCATAATTAAAATAAACCTTTTACCTTAAAATGTATGAAAATATTATTGGACTATAGAACCCTTGGAATTTATATGGTATTAAAAGACCACCATTTAATGTCGATATTTTCTACACTGGGAGGGGGTATATGCTAGTAGGGGTGGCCATTGGGTATGTTTGGGCGGGTTTTGAGTTGGGTATGAATGAATTGAGTGTGAATGGATCATTAGTCCATTCTCAATCTGTCAATGGTGGGTCATAAATGCGCGGGTCAAAACACCACAGGAAAAAACCTGTGATAAAAAGCAAATTTAAAATGACAAATAAAGGTTCATTTTTTTTTTTCTCTCAAATAAGATTTCATTGATTATCATATTAAATTGAAAAACTGAAATCAAAACCTTGTACTTTAAAAAAAACAACTAATAATAATAATAATAATAATAATAATTTTGTTATTTTAAAAAGGGGCAAATTTTTTTTTTTTTTGATAAGTAAGTGAGTAAAATAAATAGAAATAAGAGAACAAAACAGTATAACAGGAAGACGAGAGGAGAGAGAGAGAATGAAACACAAAGTAATTTGATTTTGAAAAATATCACGTGTGGTGGGTTAAGTGGGTACCCACTCTTAACCCACTACCAACCTATTAAATATATTACCTATTAATGATTTATCCATTAATAATTCATTCAACTAAACTAGTCACCCAATACCCAATAATTATTGGGCAGATTTGGATGAATTTTTGGGTTTGGGTATACTTTGCCACGTATATGCTAGTCACAAAACTAAGAACAAAGAATTCTGTCAAATGGATTAATTAAGTCCAAAGATAATAAATAGGTTTGTATGAAAAGAGATGGCTACAAATATTCCAAAATAAGCTAATACTCACTAAAAAAAAAAATTGCATCTTTTAAAAATTCATACCAATCAAACGAATCATAGCATGGGTTTTAGCGCCCTCAATTTAAATTTAAAAATGGGTAAAGTGGGGGGAAAAAAAAAATCCTACTATATAAAAAATGTGCAAGAAACACCCCTACCATTTATTATGTGCATATAAATTCCTATAATTTGAAATTTTATAGTAAATTGCTTCTGGTCATCAATTTTGACCAATTTTTTTTCTTCTAAAAATTCAAAAATACCCTTAATAAAATTTGTGCATAAAAGTGTTTATGATTATTATTTTTAATTTTGTGTTAAGGGCATTTTAGGTATTTCAACCTTCAAATTGAGAAAATGTCCTCATTTGCTCAATTTGAAAAATGTAGGAGAATTTTTTTAACACCAGATTTTTTAATTTTTTATTTTAGCACATTCTGTATATAGATTCATCTAGTCCACGCCAATCTTCTCCATCTTCTCCTTCTTTGCGAACTTCTTTCTTTTTTTTTCCTCTAAAGTTTAAGCAATTGTATATTAATAATATTAAAAATTTACAAAAAAAAAAAATGGGACTGGCCCAAGGCCAAAAGATCAAAGGCCCAAAATAACTTGAGCATCTTTTTGCCTATTGGATTTAAACAAAAAGCCCAAGTGAACTAAGCAGCCCAATCACGGGAGCGGCCCAAGATCTATTCACCACTACTTTGCAGCTTTCTTGGGCCTCATAGTCTATAGAATCTCTTCTGGGCATTACTGCATTTCTTTACTCATTTTGTTCTGAGATTTGGATTAAAACATGTTTTGTGGAATATAGTTTGTTTTTAGTGAAAGAAAAACTCTTTATATATCTCACTTGTTTATTTAACTATTTAAACCCTTTTATCTACAATATAAAAACTATATTGAGTTAAAAGGTAAGCTAGATTTTGTAAGTGATGGCAAAATCATGATTAGTGGAAAACCCAAAAAGGAAGGAAAAATAAATCAATAATTAAGTTTAATTGAAGAAATGGACAAGAACACACTCACAAACACAAATAAAATTGAAAAAGTTCCCTTTGAAGTGACCTTATACTCAATAAAAGATTTATATATATATTCGACTGCACTTCGGAAGATGGTAAAAAAGTCATTTTGCCTTTTTCAGTCCTTGTGCATTTTCTTGGTATATTTGATACATTTTTTTTCATTCTATATGCTTAAATTAATTTATTGTTTTTTCTTTACTTTGTAATGTACATTTATTAGGTATATATACCATGAGAGATAAAATGGGACAACAAAAAAGAGAGAGAAGTTGTAGTGTTGACCGTGAGAGAATGAGTGGATAAAGAAATGGGCAGGTTTTTCAATCGTGAGAGAGAGATCAGTGCATGCTAATTTTATAAAGGGATACTAGTAAGGACAATTTCGTAAAATAAAAGAGCATGTTGATATACTTGGGAAATTTGTAGGGATTATTAGGAAATAGTGTTATGGACCCATATTTACTATTTGATGGAGTCAAAGTCGTAAGGTTTCAAAAAAATGAAGTTGACTAAAGGAAAACTAAGCCCAATCAAAAGAAATTATACCATTCCTTTATATATATGCATATATTTGGTTTTTCTACTTGGCCTTCTGTACATTTTATATCTAATCCTCCTGTGATTAGCTTGGCTTCTATTAATTGTTATGACCTTTTCTATACATTTTATGCTAACAACCTCGATTTTTCTGATGAATGACAGTATAAAGTTATCGGTAATCAGATCGAAACTTACAAGAAGAAGGTTAGTTAATTTGAAAATGCATAATTGTTCATTTCATTTGTTGGTTTACTCTCTCATTGCAGTTCTTGATAATTTTCCCTCTTTGTTTTTTTTGATAAGTGATAATCTTCCCTTCTTCTTACTTGGTTACAGGTAAGGAATGTGGAAGAAATACACAGAAACCTCCTCCATGAATTCGTAAGCATACTGCACTTTTTACTTTATTTTTCCTTTCATTGCATTCAATAGTATCGAAACTGTACATAGGAATCAGAAATAGAAGACCATATCAGTTCAAATTTTAAATGGAGTAGTTTTGATTGATATAGGAGACAAAAGGGGAGGATCCACACTATGGATTAGTTGATAATGGAGGGGATTACGATTCTGTTCTTGGATTCACAGGTGGAGCCGCTAGCATATTAGCTTTACGTCTGCAGCCAAACATGCAGCTTGGTGGTGTTCATGTTGGAGCAGGATCAGATCTCACCACATTTGCCCTGCTTGAATAGCACCTGAAGAGGTTAATTACTGTAGCCAAACATTCAACCCTTAATTATATGTGTTATTTAGAAGTATAACTGAACTAGTTATCTCACAAGTGTGCGCTAGTTTTTATCTATCCATCACAGTTTATCTTTTACTCTACTAGCTGTTTGTATTTTTTTTTTTTTTAACTACCTTCGTTTTCATATATTCAACCGAATTTCATGTTCAATACTTGTTTGATTGCCTCTATAATTTAATCTTCTGTGTTTAGACAGATTATTTTGTGTACTTGTTGTATGTCCAATTATTTTGTTTACTTGTTGACCATACAAAAAATAATTAAACATACCAAAGCATTTTTATGACACAACTTTGGCTGTGTTCGGTTGTATGGAATTGGAGTTTTGGAATTGCAATTAGTGGAAGTGAAGAAATTTTGAAAATGTGTTCGGCTGTATAGAATTGAAGCCTTGGAATTGGTTGAATTTTTGAAAATTTTGGTTCAATTTTCTAAGTTGTGTTTTCCAATTCTACTAATTTCAATTCCATGCAACCGATCATAGCATTAGTTTGATTTTGTGAGTTGTTTTTTTGCAATTTCAATTTCATGTAGCCGAACAAAATGTTTGTGAAGTTCTAAATTAACACGTATGCTTGGTTTTGCATCGATACAAAGAAATTCGAAGAAGACATTTTTCACCCAAACAAAGATTTTATCCCTGTTCAAGGTTCGTTCGTATTGTGGTTTTGTGAAGTCTGATCACGTGAAGGTTTTCAGAGATTCAAATTTGTTGATTGGGTTTTCTACGTTGGCTACTAACATTGAACCGGTTCAACTAGAATCGTAAATTTGGACTTTGTCTATCATCAAAGTTGAACTGTTTCAGGGCCACTTGAACCGGTTCAAGTTGGCCAGTAAATTGCACTACGTAAGATAACAAAGTTGAACTAGCTGAACCGATTCAACTCTTCTAATAAGTTACGTGAATTAAATTCCTTAATATTTTTATACTCTACAAAAAGCAAGTTTTTATAAGACAAGTTGTGTTTCATTATTTGAAATTTTCAAATGACGAATTTAAAAAACAGTTAAACAAACAGGTTTTTGTAGAGTTTTCAGTCAACCAAACAGGTCCGTTAAAGTTGGCTGCCCCAACTACTCACGGAGGGAACCCCACAACATTGTCTGGACTGGGGACATTTTCAATTCTAGAACATGCATCCTCCTATAGTTCTACGTTAGACTATCAACTTTGAATTAATTTGACAACCAATGCAAATACACAGTTTATTAACTTGTTTCTTTCAAACATAGCCAGGTAGTGGGCAACATTAATACTGTAGCCAAACAACTCATCCAAGGTACACTATTATTGAAGATGTTAGAGAAACCATTTTCATAGTAGGAGATTGTTCCTCCTTACCCTTCAGTCCCACAATATTCTTATTCCCACACGGAAGTAAAATCGTTCGATATTTTGTGCGGATTTTTAATAAATAGTGTCAATAAAGACTCTTTTGCCAGATTATTTGATAAGAGAGGTGAAAAGAGTGCAAAAGTTCCGATTCTCCATTTTTCTTGATGAGACTAATATCTCTTTCTTGAAGTGTTTAATTTAACTATTGTCGCATAGTTACTTGTAAGATCGACCCACAAGTTTATATATATATATATATATATATATATATATATATTGTATTAAATAATTGAAGTGAATTACTAAATCTATTTTTTTATTTTTATTACTCAATTATGCTACAAAAAAAAAAAAAAAAAACTCTTCCCTTAATTGTATTAATATAAATAAATAATTAAAAATATAATTCACTACAAATATTTAGGTTTAAATATCACTACTAGTATTATTATTATTATTATTATTCTCATACACACATATATATATATATATACTCTCGCTAAATGAGAGAATAATTTTCTAGTCCCTACCTCGGTCAGCTATCAATATTACACTCCCAGAATATTTTTACTCTCTTCTCTCTCTCTCACACACACAAACGGCATAAATTAGAGAATAATTCGTATGTATATATATATATATTTTATGTTCCCCATCACTTCTGTGGTCAGTCCATGGACCAACCTGTCAGTCTTACTTGAATACCATCTCTATTTCAACCTCCGATAGATCTCATATCATGTGGACCTGGTGAGGTATGGGGAATATATAAAAATATAGAAATAAATAAAAAAGAGTTCGTTGTGCATTATAGAGCACACTGGTGCTATGTTTAACTGCTTGTCTATTTACCGATAAGCGAAATATTTTTACTTGTTATTAATGTGGCACAAAGTAAAATGACACATGTTTTTTTAATTTAAATAAATAAAAAATAAAAGTTTTAAAAACGTATTTAGGTTAACCCAATAACAAATTAAATCCTAATTCTCTGTTCCTCTCCCCTCTCTCTCTCTCTCTCTCTCTCTCTCTCTCTCTCTCACGCTGTTACTATATCTATCTTTCACTTGAATCCTTTTCCCATACTGTGTTGTATATCTATCTTCTCATCTCTAAGCTCTACCCATCTTTTTCTATATTCTCTGCACTCAATGGACAGAAATGTAGTTTGGACCGTGTAAGTACAGGGGGATGAAGGGCAAACTCAACAGTACACTGTCTACAACCACAGAATCTATTTTCTATGTTTTTGAAACCTATATCTTCTTCTTATCTTACTCTCTCTCTCTAAAATCAAATAAAACCATTTGAAGATTAATGACCAGTGATTGCCCATATTAGCATTAATTCAGTGTTTTAGAAAGAGACAAAATTAAATGATTGATGAAGATATTTTCAAGAGATTTTGTATGATTTGTAATGCTATTTTTCGTGATTGACACTTCTGGATTTATAACCGTGGCAAAATTGCCTGGAAATGTGGAGGTGGTCGGAAATAATAAAAGTTGGGTCTTTGGAGGTGGTTCTTTGCTAGGGCTTGGGGAGGGGGGAGACCGGAGAGAATTACGGATTTAAATTTGGATCCGGTTTGTAAGTAAGAATTTTTTATTCATTGGTGAGTAAGTAAGTATTGTCCATGTTAAATCCATTAGAGTTGTTGATTAATCGACAAAAATGTTTTCTGATCATAAAAAAAATGTTACCCACTTGACAGACTTGCCTCTGCCAAAATTTCCTTGCAATTTCACTGTTCAAACTGCGGTTCTTTGTGTCTAGGCAGTGATAAGTGGGGCTTAGGGGTGCCCCTCATTTTTTTTCTTTTTTATTTATTTCAAACATATATACATATATATATATATAATTTTAAAATTGTATAATTTCTAGAAATTTTGTATAATGTATAATTTTAAAATTTTCTCACATCTAATCTCTTACTTCCAATTTGATCTCTATTTCTTTCTCAGATCACTTTTAATCCTCTCTTTTCCTATACTAGACCGCTCTCTTTCAATTATTCTCCCTTTAATGAAGAATTGAGGACTTTCTAGGTTTGTAGATGATACATGAAAATTATAAACATACATCCGTTAGACGAGAACATATTGTAAAGCACACAAAACTCTTATTTATTTAATTAAATATATATAATTTTCAATCAATTTTTTTATTTAGAAAACTCAATGAAAATGGTTCAAAGTCTCAATACAGTGACAAATTTCATTTATTATTTTTAATTATTACAATTGAGGACTTTCTAGGTTTGTAGAATCCTAACTAATTCAACTTTAGAAAATTTCTTTTAAAACTTTGTTAAGGTTCTATGGAATTGGAGTCTTGAAATTAGAATTTACGAAATTGAAGAAAAGCAATTCAGAAAATTGAACCAAATTTTTTTTTTATTTCACTAATTCCAATTCCAAATCTCTAATTCCATACAACCAAACACACCCTAAGGGTATTCATGGTAAGGAAGAATGAGGAAACGCTTTTAGCACTTATTTAAATTTGTTTTGTTTTGTATAATTCTATTACTAAAATATACCCATGCAAATTTTTCACGTGACAATCTTGTTTTATTATAAAAATCATAGAGGACGAAATTAAATGTAATAAACAAATTAATTTCTTATATTAATGATTTTGTTCAAAATATTTTTATCTTATTATATTCTTAAATCTTCAATCATTTTCACTACTCTACAAAGTAGAATGGTGACCGTTCAAATCTCCTTAAAAAAATGAGTGTACATCAAATTAAACACCGTAACAAATGCAACACCTATACATAGTAATCGCATTCTTAATATAATGTTATTACAAAAATATTAATTTAAATAAACTAAAACATAGCAGGATGCAAATGGGTCCACAGGAAAAAGGTCATTAATTAATTAGTCACATACCAGAGAGCATATTGTACTTTTGGCTTTAGGATCTGAGGAAATTATTTTGGCTCATGGCTTGGAATATTTAAGTGTAGGTATGGCTTGAGAGTATACAAAAATCATCCAGATGAATGGAATTCGAATCAAACCATGATCAATTTCATCACTTATCCTCCATATTGTGCTGCCGACAACTCATATTTTAGTCCATCTTATCTGCATATATATATATATATTATTTACTAGGATATATTTGTTGTGCAAATCTACTAAGATTCTTCAAAAAGTGTAGTTTGTCTTCTAGTGTTAGCTGGCTTATGACTCTGACCCCCTAAACCTCAACTTGACAATTTGAATCAAAATTTTTAATTTCCTCATATATTTGAATCTCATGAATCTAATTTTTTAATTAGTCCAATTGTTTGAAAGTTTACCTAATTATGCTTTTCTTGAATGGAAAAGAGCACACCACGTACCCTCTAGAAACTCATGCATTCACGTTGTCATTATTTTATAATTGAATTGTTTTGTGTTTTTTTTTTCTCCGTCCTTTTGAAGGAAACTTTATACATTAAATGCATGTCGGCTTTGAAATTATTTTGATGAAATGTATTTTATACAGTAATAAAACTATCCATTTTGGATCTGGCTGCTAATATTTTTGTTTTGTGTTGTGAATTAAGTCGCATAAAGCGGGAGTAAATTTGAGAGTGGATTATACAGTAAATTTGTGTTGCTAAACATGTTTTGTATTACTATTGAAAACACTACACAACCAAAAAGTGATTTCTGTTTTGGATGAAAACAAAAATGGTATCCAAATGAACCCTAAATGTTTTCACACTGTGGCAAGAAAAACTCTAGGTGACCTTTTATTAACTGGCAATTTTATTTCTCAATCTTGCAACATTTTTTATTAAGCATGTTTACATTTTTTTGCTCCCAAAAATTTTGTAACAAATTTTACGTTA